TGTTTGAGATATTGGATTCCTTGTGGACATTATTAAAGTCACTGAGGTCTGCTTTTGGGATTATGTGGAAGCTAAGCAAGAACAGAATGCTTAATTTTAGTGGCTAGAGATATAAGTGGCATGCATATTTTGATTCTATAGAAGTTTCAGAGATTTCTGGACTTCCCCCAAATATGGAACTAGTTAGGGTTCAAGGACACTTCATTTAGGACACTGGGGAAGAGGAGATACCCAAATAAGATCTGGATCACAGGTACATTCAGTAAATTTCATGTCCCACTCTGTCAGATCCAGCTCCTCTTTCTGAAGCTGCTGCAAGAGTTTTACATCTGCTTTATGCCCCCAGATACTGGCCTGTGACCTCTCAGGAGTCCCCAAACTGGTAGAAGTCTCCAATTTGGGGTTAAAGCGGGGGACTCCCACTTGCAGCCTCCTTTTATTCTCACCAATTAACCAAAGCCCCTGTGACTACTGACCCTCATCCTCTGGTTCATATTTGGGATTTTACTTTTAAAGGCCAAGCTCTTTCTCCATGTCTGCTGTTTCTTGATACAGTGCCTCTGTCAAGGGCCTGGTAGCTGTGGGAAATGGACCAGGAACTGAGAGGGTGAATGGTAGAGACTTACTAGTACTTTAGGGAGTTGGCAGCCTGTTCATCCCACTGCTTAGCCTGGTGTGACATACAATCTTTCAAGTTCCACAATATTCATATGTGAATTTTGAATCCTTTCTGTGTCTCTTCACATATCATTGTTCCTCTCTGGGCATTAGTTTCCCTAGACTTAAGATGAGCAGAGACATTTTTTTGACTGGTTCTGTGATGCTAGGAATACGATCAGGTCATTAGAAGGACAGATTAACAATTGCCATCTACTTCTTCCTGTACCTCTATTCTATTCTTTAAATTCCCTGATTGATTTCTTTAGTCCTAATTTTTATCCTGGCTCTTCCTGGGACTCTATTTTCTTTGGAATAAGGTCTCTGTCTGATTCTAATTTGACCTGAGAGAGACAGTACTTCTGATCCTAAACTATTGCCTCTATCAGTTCTCCTAGAAGTTGGCCTCTGGCCAATTATGCTGCATATCTTTAGCTACCAGACTTTCAATCTTTGTAATCTGGGACCTGGAAGCCTTTAAGAGAATTGCTCCTGGATTCTGCCCTCTTGCCACCAGCAATAGTGACCACGATCTGCTACCAAGTATTCTGGGGACCAAGCGGATCCAAGTGGCCTGTTTGAACTTTCTGTCTAAAAGTCCTTCCTTTGGTCTGTGCCTGGTGTATTCAGGGACTGTAACTTTATATCAAATAACAGCTTCTTCTGCTTCCATTGGGATGGAAGGTTGAGCAGGCAGTTATTCAGCAGACTGGCAGGGTTAGGATCCAGGAGCTCAAGAATAAGCTAAAATAGCCCCCAAGAGCAGCTTGGGTAGGGAGGTCCTGTAATTGCTGGGTTTTGTTTTATTTTGTTTTGCTGTGTCTGAGCATCCACAGCTAACCCTAATGTTCGCAACACTCGGAGAAAGGGCTTAGCATATGCTTTGTTTTAGTGCTGCATGGCGGTGCCCTCTGCAACAAAATTGGTTGGGTCAAGGCAAGGGGCAGTGCTAAAGAGTCATTCTCAATAATTCAGAAGGGATCATGGCAAAGGCAATGGCCACACATGGGATACCAGGCAGGTACACAAACAAAGGCAGACCAAATCTCAGTGATGGACAGCTCCTGTAAGCCACGTCTGGGCAAGGCTTGAGAAGCCACTTGAATTCTGACCTGGGAGAAGTGGACTGGAGGAGCCTCAGACATGTAAAGTAGGGAAGTAGCGAATGTCTGCTGTTTGACATGCCCACTCAGATCTCAAAGGCTTCTCAAATCTGACAATACAAATATTATAAGTGTGGGCTAGCTACCTCAGAGAAAAGGCTGGAGTAGATAGTATTTCAACTCAAGTAGCATACAAAGATGATTTGTATCTTTCTCAAGTCCATTTACAGAGCATAGGGTTTCCTGACCATAGCGGGTACTGACATTGAGTTCCAACTTAGGTGATTCATCCCTTTCTGCTCCTGAGTAAGAGAAGATCTTCACCAAGAAATCAGAATGGTGTCCTAGCAACACTCCATTTCAACAGTGATAAAGACTCAGTCTACTAACCTGCTCAGGCCTCCAACAGCACTGACACCTCCCCCCTCTGATCTTCCTTTTGAAAACAATGCTTCCTGTCATTGTCATTGTAGGCCATTTCAAAATTCAAATTCCTGCAATCTTTTCTTCTCTTGGATTCTTTTATACCTTTACTCTTTCATTTCTTTTTTTCTCTACCCATTCTACCTATTGGCCCAGGATACTCATTCTATGTAAATTCACTCTATCCATATCTTCACCTTATTTTTATAATTCTTTCTTCCTCCCTCTCTTGGTTAATTTTATGTGTCAACTTGGGTATTTGATGGTTCCCAGTTTTTGGTCAAACATCAGTCTAGATCAGTGATGGAGAACCTTTTGAGCTCGGTGTGTCAGCATTTTGAAAAACCCTAACTTAACTCTGGTGCCGTGTCACATATAGAAATTTTTTGATATTTGCAACCATAGTAAAACAAAGATTTATATTTTTGATATTTATTTTATATATTTAAATGCCATTTACCAAAGAAAAATCAACCAAAAAAATGAGTTCGTGTGTCACCTCTGACACGCGTGTCATAGGTTCACCATCACTGGTCTAGATGTTGTTCTACAGGTATTTTTAAGATTTTATTAATCTTTAAATTAGTAGGCTTGTGGGTAGATCTCATGCAATCAGTTAAAAGTATGAAGAGAAAAGATTGAGGTCCCCTGAAGAAGAAGGGATTCTACCTTTGGACCCGAGACAGCAACATTAACATTTCCCTGGGTTTCCATACTCCTGGCCAGATCTATACATCTCAGGCTTGACAACCCCCACAATTGCATGAGGTAAAATAAACCTCTGTGTATATATACATCCTATTGGTTGTGTTTCTCATGAGAATCTTAACTAATACACTCCCTTAAAGAAAACTTGACTCAGCCCCATGGAAACCACCTCCCACTGAGTGGGTGTCACTAACTACTTTTTCTCTCCCACAATAGACCACAGAGCCAGGAAGCAGAATCAGCATTTTATCAGCCTCCCATTTACTACCTCAGAAGTCAAATTCTTTTCTGATCAGGTAAAAACCCATCTTTCTTTGTTATTGATGCTATCCAACTAAGAGAGTACTACTTTTATGTTTCTTACTTTTGTCATCTACCAACCTCCACATCACTTCCACTCATTCATTCAAGATAACAATGTCTGACTCTAGCCTATGCATTTGGGACAGTGATATCTATCTTGAAGGGTAGTTGTTGGAACTAGAGCCAATATGTAGAAAATACCTAACTCTGTGTGACCACTGGTAGGCCCTTGATACATAGGAGTTATTAGCATTTATTATGTTTCTATTCAGTTTCTATACAGGTCCTTGTATAACCAGATGAGGCTCTGATGACCATAAGGACAAGCCATCCAACAGCCCTTGTCTCAAAGTTCTTTGACCTTCATTCCAAAAACTTCCACCCAAACTGCTCTTTGGCCACTCAGATCAAAGCAAAGTACTGTATCTTGTTAGTTTCAGAGGGAAGTATGTTCCTTAAAACTCCCCAGCCACTTACCACAAACTAGTTTTACATATTTCAGCCAGAAGAAAGACTTACTTAAGAAAACCATTTCTGTGATTTCCATAAAAATAAAATTTCCCCAACACTACTGGTCTCTTGCTCCACCACTGTATGTTTCCCATCAAAAGAAGAGAAGGTGTATGGTTGGTTGGTGACAGCATTAGCCAAATTTTTTCTCAATTTGCTTGGAGATAATTTGTCAAAAGTCAGTATCCACAGGGATTCAATTTCTTTCCTAAACTCAGACCAGTGTAAAATCCTAGACAGTATATTTATTGTCCAAACACCTATTTCTTTTCAGGTGGTCCCAGGAGGATAGGAGTGGTAAGGATGGGTAATTAGGAAGCCCATTTGAATTTTAAACTGAGCCAGCAATTTTATCAGTGATAAAGAGTTGTCATTTATTAGCCTTCTTAGACCCACTTGTCATCATCAAAACCTGCTTTACCTGTCTGAAATCTTAAAGTGCATAATACTGATTTATGACCATATCTTTAGACCATCAGGCTTTCTCACACATTTTCCTACTATAACTAGTCTTTTATCACATGAAGACATAACCCTAAACTCCCTCTATGCTTTGTCATGACAATAACCCAATGCTGAATTGATCTCATTCCCAAAAGGGCTCTCGATATGTGGAACAGGAACTATTGGTGGCTGTTGTGTGGAGTCTAATGGGCTTTATGCAGTAGAAATCTCTAATAAGTCACTCTTGAGAGACTGGAAGGTCCCGGATGGACACATGCAAGATACTGGTTCAAGCTTCAAAAGGGGAAAATGTGTGTTTGAGTGTGACCATGTTATATACACTGAGATGCCCTACAGTGTGAACTGTGAGAGTCCCTGCTGGGCAGCACAGTGCCCACCTCAGTGGCTGATGAGAAGTCACAACCTCACTCTGGACTCTAACTTACAAAATACCTCATCCCTGCTAACCTCTTGACCATAATTACCAACGGGTCAGATTCAAGTGTCTTCTTTGGGTAAGTCCTTCTTTTTACCACAAATGTGAGAATTATTTTAACTTCCTAAGTATTTCAGAAAACAATGACACTTGATGATACTTCCAATTACAAAAGTAAGAGAATTATCACAGACAAAAAAGTAAAATACAAAATTGAATTTGTAAGGTGATATTTGACGGGGGATTTTCTTCATTTAGGAGTTTGGCTGCTACTTAGATGTACTTATGCTGCTGTTTCTGTTGCTGGTGGTGACTTGCCTTGGCTTGACTCGCGTCTGCTCAGTTGAATCACCACTGTGAGTGAGCTGGTTGCCAGTGCAGCTCTGCCTTGCTGCATTCTCTTTTTATAGCAGCAACATTATCAAGGTGGTGCTTTTAGGAGCATCCAGGGAGCAAGGACTTGTCCAAATTTTGAGTGGATTAAATCATATACATGTGAGTAGTCTAATCCTCTTCTTCCAATCTAGCAGTGGCCATTCTCAGGGTACATTCTGTAATTTGTTGTGTTTTTTTTTTTTAAATCTAGTTTTTCTTACTATGCTGGCTCCTGCTCTGCTCTCAAAAGGGAAATTTGCTACTGGCCTCTTTAGGGAAAGCTCACAGGGGTAAATTGATTCCATGATGAGTTCAGAGGCACACAGTTTCTGGGAAAAGCAGATGCAGAAAATAAGTTTGCCTTCTCTTTTGTCAGATAGGTTACAGACACTAATAGAAATAGGACATGCAAGGAAATGTGTCCAGGTTCAGAATAAGAACAAGGGGTACTCCTTTTTAAGACAATAATTCATTCTGATATTTCCTTTTGCTCAGTGTCATTTAAAAGGGTCTCCCTCAGATTTAGGGCGCTGCCATATTGTAAAACTGAATATGGCAGCGCCCTAAAGATGCCACAGTGTGATGATTTAGAGACAGGACACATTCATGATCTCCTAGTGGAGATGTATGAACAGATAATAAAGAAATATATAATATATAAAATATGTAAAAATAAATAATATATAAAACATGTAAAATATATGTAAAATAGGGGTCTGTTATCTATTTATTTAGTTTCTTTTAAAAGTTTATTTTTCAATTTTATTTACATTCAATATTATTTTGTGTTAGTTTCAAATGTACAGCATAGAGGATAGATAATCATATACTTTATAGTGATCCCCTTGATATTTCCAGTACCCATCTAGCACCATGCTCAGTTATTACAATGTTATTGACTGTATTCTCTATGATGTACTTTACATCTCCATGACTGTTTTGTGACTACCAATCTGTACTTCTTAATCCCCTCACGTTTTTCACTTGTCCCACAACCCCCCTCCCCTCTGGCAGCTATCAGTCTCTTCTCTGAGTCTATGAGTCTGTTTCAATTTTGTTTACTTATTTTGTTTTTTGATTTCACATATAAATGAAATCATATGGAATTTGTCTTTCTTTGACTGGCTTATTTCATTTAGCATAATACCCTCTAGGTCCATCCATGCAAACGGTAAGATTTCATTCTTTTTTATGGATGAGTATATATTTCATTATATATGTGTACCACAGCTTTTTTTTTATCCACTTGTCTGTTGATGGGCACTTGGCTTGCTTCCATACGGGCACTTGGCAATTGTAAATGATGCTGCAATAAACATAGGGGTGCATACATCCTTTCAAATTAGTATTTTGGGATATACACGCTCAGAAATGGAATTGCTGGGTCATAGGGAGGTTCCACTTTTTTATTTGTTGAGGAACCTCCATACTGTTTCCCAGTCTGCATTCCCACCAACAGTGCAGGAGAGTTCCTTTTCTCCACATCCTCACCAACACTTGTTTGTTGATTTATTGATGGTAGGCGTTCTCACCTTTGTAAGGTGGTTTTAGTGTCTGACAGTTATTGTCTATTGACCATCTGGACATGTGTCTATTCAGGAGAGGTGTCTATTCAGGTTCTCTGTAAGGGCATGTTTTTTAGAATAGCAAATCTTCTGATCATATTTGACTTCCATTATTTCAACTACATTATTATCTAGTCTCCTCCCCACCCCAACCGCCAAAATTATGTGGAGTTTGCTTGAGCACCTCTCCAGCAAGGGAATGATTGGGTATAATTATTATAGTCTTCATGTCAGTAACTAGTTATGAAGCTGTAAATAATACTTATAACTTTTTTCATTAACTAATACAGATTCCCCTTTATCTCACTTTAGAGCAGTGGTTCTCAACCTTCTAGCCCTGTAAATACAGTTCCTCATGTTGTGACCCAACCATAAAATTATTTTCGTTGCTACTTCATAACTGTAATGTTGCTACTGTTATGAATCATAATGTAAATATCTGATATGCAGGATGGTCTTAGGCGACCCCCGTGAAAGGGTCGTTCGACCTCCAAAGGGGTCGCGACCCACAGGTTGAGAACCACTGCTTTAGAGAATCAGAGTTCTTTGCCTGTTAGGGGACTCTAATCTTCATTCCTAAAGCATTTGAGTCTTTAGTGGTCTTGCCTTTATTCATTACTGTGTTCATTAATTAACATCTACTACTGAATTTGAAGTAATTAGATGTGTTCAAAAGAATCCCCTGGATTCAAGGCATAGTCTTCTCTGCCTTGAGAGTGTCTATTACCCTTTAATAACTGGATTTCAATACATTTTTGTCTATTGATTCAGTAGTATAAGGAGCCCAAATTCATTGATGGGCACTTGGGTTGCTTTCATATTTTGACTATTATAAATAATGCTTTACTGAACAAAGGGGTGCATGTATTCCTTCAAATCTTCAAATTAGTGTTTTGGGTTCTTCAGATATATACCCAGAAGTGGAATAACTGGTTCATAAGGCAGTCCCACTCTTAATTTTTGAGGACCCTCCATACTGTTTTCTGTAGTGACTGCACCAATCTGCATTCCCACCACTAGAGTACTGGGGTTCCTCTTTCTTTACATTCTCGTCAACACTTGTTGTTTGTGGATTTATTGATGATGGCCATTCTGATAGGTGTGAGGTGATATCTCATTATGGTTTTAATTTGCATTCTCTGACAGTTAGTGGCATTGAACATGTTTTAGTGTCTGACAGTTATTGTCTATTGACCATCTGGACATGTGTCTATTCAGGAGAGGTGTCTATTCAGGTTCTCTGTAAGGGCATGTTTTTTAGAATAGCAAATCTTCTGATCATATTTGACTTCCATTATTTCAACTACATTATTACCTAGTCTACTCCCTACCCCCACCACCAAAATTATGTGGAGTTTGCTTGAACACCTCTCCAGCAAGGGAATAATTGTGTATAACTATTATATTCTTCATGTCAGTAACTAGTTATGAAACTGTAAATAGAAAGAGGAAGATGGGAATGTCACCACCCTAGTGGCTGATGCCCTGAAGCAGTGGTTCTCAACATTCTGGCCCTTTAAATACAGTTCCTCATGTTGTGACCCAACCATAAAATTATTTTTGTTGCTACTTCATAATTGTAATGTTGCTACTGTTATGAATCATAATGTAAATATCTGATATGCAGGATAATCTTAGGCGACCCCCGTGAAAGGGTTGTTCGACTGCCAAAGGGGTCGCGACCCACAGGTTGAGAACCGCTGCTTTAGAGAATCAGAGTTCTTTACCTGTTAGGGGACTCTAATCTTCATTCCTAAAGCATTTGAGTTTTTAGTGGTCTTGCCTTTATTCATTACTGTGGTCTTTAATTAACAACTACTACTGAACTTGAAGTAATTAGATGTGTTCAAGAGAATCCCCTGGGTTCCAGGCATAGTCTTCTCTGCCTTGAGAATGTCTATTACCCTTTAATAGCTGGATTTCAATACATTTTTGTCTATTGATTCAGTAGTATAAGGAGCCCAAATTTGCCAAGTGGCAGTCTCAACTTCCATGTTACCAGGGAAATATTGCTTACATTTGTGAAGTTATTCCTCCCTTGAGAAGACCTTTAAACTGACAGAACTCAAAATTATGT